AGAGAGTTCTATTTTATGTTTTCTGAAGGATCTAGCTGTCATTACGTACTCAAAAGTCATACCCACATGTTCCATGTTTGAGCAAATTGGGGTGCCCCACCTGAGGAACTTTGTGATAGCTTCCATCCCACGTTGAAGCTATGTTGCCAATTTCCGACATGTCATTGAAGACCCTCTCAGCATGAGGGAAGCGGGTACGCAAGTAATCCTGCTTCCTTTTGTCGTTCTCCACCATGAATGCAAGCTCCGCCTGGAGGGTTCTTTTTAATTTAGCAAGATTGACAATAATATCTTACTGAACTTTAGCGCAAATCATACGGTACTTGCTTTCCAGTGTTTGTGTCCTTTATGTTAAAAAGTCTACAGATGACAGTCAGTATTATGTACTCTTTGTGTATGGTTGAAACAACGGGCCTTGAAATCACCTGTTCCAACTGGTTGTTTGTTCCATTCCTCCTGAAGACGTCCCAGGACCATCTCCAGAACTCCCCAACCCGAGCACATGCTGCCCACTCGCAATGTGTCCACTTTGCGGAACATGGACACCAACCTCTGCCGAAGTCCGTCAAAGCACGGCTCCTTCAGAAAGATTTGCACGAAGTCGGAGACCTGAGATTGCCAAGCGTGCAAAACCCCTTTCAAATCCTTTTAGTGGAAGATAGATGAGATGAAACACGGCACATACAAAATGCATTGGGTCAATATGGGTCCCATACATGTTTTGGCTTGACATTTTTTGGTGTAGCTGAGGAGTCCAATTCCAGGTCCGAGGATTCATAGTAAAAAGACTTTGTTTCCGACCACTCTTAAGCAAAGTAGCGTTGGGAATGTGATTGAAAGGGAGTTTCCTCATGGTGTCAGCTGCAGGTGTGCTGCTTCCCCCCTCCTCCTCTGAAGCCTCCAGTAGTCCAAGGTCTTCGAACTCAGTCTTTTGGTCGTCTTCTTGGTCTGCAAACGGGTGCCAGCAGTGAAGTGGCGAAGTGGCCGAGGGTAACACAACTTGAATGGTGATGGGTTTCATGGCGCATAAGACTACCCCGCCCACATTCTGGGATATAGTGACAACAGTGGGTGTGACATCATGAATGGCACAGCCTTCGGGCCTCCGTCAGAACAATAAAGCAAAGCTCCATCCTCGAGTGCTTCCATGTCTTCTTTGGTCCTGGAGAGCGCGAGGCAAGAGCTGGATGGCGCGGCAGTCAAAGGGGAACAAAAGGTTGAGTTTGCCACCTTCCACCAAGACCCAAGGGCCGGGTGTGAAAACAAGTCTTTGAGAGACAAAGGAGCAGGACCATAAAAAAACACATGCTGGTCTGGTCGTGTTTGATTAGTTTTTTGATTGAATTAACACACTGCATTTTTCTCACACTCCCTTTTCAGCTGGCGTTCAGCAAAGCTTGTGGCAAGACCACTTCCCCTTCATCCGAAGATGAACCCTCATCTAGTTCCGCATCTGGCACCAGCGATAAATTGACATGTTTCTTTCGAGCTGGTGTCTTCCATGCGCCATGCCTCACAGCTTCACCCCTCAATGCGGGAATGTACCGGTATGTCAGGATGCCATACAAGGTAGGTTTGGGATGTTTGGGCAATGTACCCCCAACCCACTGTAGCAAATAGTCGGCTGACTCCTTGCTGAGTGTGCCAAGTCTTTGGCATTTTGCTGCGTACCGATTGATGTTGTTCCTCATTGAATCTGAAATGGGTCTTCTCTCTTCCACCCCTGCTGGAAGAGCGTACCCGGTCCGCACTTGCTGCGCTGCAAGAAAAGGCATAACGCAAATCGCTCTAGCTATGTTGGTATCAGCGAGCCACTGTTTTGTGACAACAAAGATGTCTTCAGGGTGTCTATCTCTCTGTCCTCTCATCTCCTCAACCTCAGCCACATTGTCAAGGATGTCGGCCCCCATATCCTTTCTCTCGCAAAAGCGTATGTAGTGCACATGGCGCATCCCCTTGAGGAAAACACCAAGCTGGGACACAAAGGGTTGCCAACACGTCACTTCGTCCAGTTTGTAGGCAGAACAAGAGGATTTTAGTATATGCCCTGCTGATGTTGTAGAAGTTCCCTGCCGTTTGGTCAAAGCATTCAGCAAATCTACCATAGCATCAGCAGTGGCGACTGCTTTCCCTTGAAGAAGACGTGCAACTTGTCCGAAGACTTGGTCGACGTCTTCATGGCTATGGGCTTTTCTTAGGTAGCCTTGGCTGGTGCTTCGAAAGATCTTTAGCACAACTGCCATCATCATGAAGGCACTGACAAATTGGTTCTTGCCTTCACGAAAACAATTGTCAGTTTGACAGTGCAAGTGCAGCGGGAGCTGGGATGTCGTTGTCAGCAAATTTGACAAACTTCGCACGAGCTGCTCTGTTTGACTGGCCGAGTTTTTCTTGACATTCTCGTCGCTGACACTCAGCCACAACCGGTCTCCGTGGATCCAAGTGGCAGCCAGATGTAGTGCTGGACGGTATAGCACTTCTAACGACTTAGGCAGTCTAACGTAGCCATTTGGAACCCTCAGTTTGGACTGGTCCATTCCATCCATGATTGTAGTCAGCACTGAAGAAGACAGTTCCAGTGAATGAATCTTAGATATTCCAAAAGCAAGCTGCTGTGAAAAGAACTGTCGGCTGAGCTCCCTCATCCGCCAGTAGAATTGTCGGTCTCTCCACTGAGCAAACAAATGGTTGCTGTAGGATCTTGTCCATGTCAGCCTCTCCGACCTGGTTGCTGATTTCTTTATTTTCTGTTTGTACCGATAGCAGATCTCGCACTGTCCAAATTCAGCTTTATCCCTGAACTTCAAATGGGTGGAGAACACCCTTCGAAATACTCTCATGAAGGTTGCCAGGGATGCCGGTTTGATTCTTTCGGCGTCTGCGTAAGCAGTGTACTGCATGTACAGGTCAATCGGCTTGGCGTGTTCAAGATACCTCCGGGGCCCTTGAAAAGTGGCCGGGCCGATTTGACCTGGGTGACTCAACTCGAAGTGTTTCTCAACATCTCGGAGGAAGCCACATGTGAAGCGCTCAGAAAAGTCTGGGTCACCCTCCACAATTTCGGTTTGCCAGTTCGGCATGACAAGCCTTGTAGGCAAAACCTCCGCGGCAGAGATGTACAAGATCCAAAAGAAGGTGACTACATGCGGCCACTGCATGTTCTCAGAGTTTCTCTTCAGAGACACCTTCAGTACACTGTGTTTGGGTTCTTGCAACCGCTTTTCATGCATAGTATACCCTGGCAGGTTTTCACGGAGGTTTTGTAGAACCCTGGAGCTGATCCCATAGAGCTGTTGGTGAGCCCTGGCACAAACAGTCCTACCGAGAAAGCTGAATGGCGTTGTTTGCCTTGCAGTATACTTCCGGCGCTTGGACGGTTCAGGTTCCTCTTGGACATTATCATCATCTGATTCAAGTAGCATAGCCCCATCCATATCACAATCGCTTTGAGAACCTTCAGAATCACTTTGAAGGAGAACCCTGTCCTCATCACAATCTCCTGTGCCCACTTCATCATCGCTTTGATACAACAGCGCATCCAGCTTTTGATCACTCCCAGTGAGGCTTTCTGGAAGTTGGATGTTATACCACATTCTCACCAGATCTTCCTGACAGAGTTTTTCATTGACCCCGAAACAGGTTCTTGTAGTTTGCCTACTACCAACAACCATTCTCATTGGACGTGTTGTTTGGAAATAATTGGTGTGGAACACTTGACTTAGGGTCAGCAAAACAAAACCCTTCCTACTGGTGTGGTTAAAAAGAAAATATGTCCATGCCATGCAAGGTTCTTTGCGAGAGTCATCAAGTGCATTGTACCGATCTCGCTCTTGTTGGACTCTTTCTAGATTGTTCTCAAATTGAGTGAGACACGATCTTGCTCCGCATTGACATGGCTTGGCGAGCAGCTGGGCCAATTTTGGCCGAGGCATTGAATGCAAGGCGCCAATTGGTGGAAACCGTGCTGCACTGCAACATGTGTTGAACGATGCTGAACGTGTCAATTATGGATGCTATCTAGGCCTTGTTCCAAGGCTGACTTGACTAAAAGTGATGCTGTGATGCTCTAAACCGGCATCTCCCCCTATTGAGCCGCATTACAAAATCAAATACTAAATAGCATTCACTCACACGATTGCCCAAATTGAAGCGACTCCCCTCTCCCGTGGTCCTCTTGGCTGGGCGCTTGCAGACATTCCCGGCCGGGCGCTTCCTCGAGGGTTTCTTCAAAGTAGCCGCCATCATCCACTTGGCGTGAACTGGCCCGCACCCTTAAGAGCCAAATGCTCTTCAGTAGGCTGGCACGCACTAGTCTCATACCTCGATCAACCCTGCAACCTTAACACCACATCCTATCCCTGTCACGAAAGCACCAGCAGTGTCGAAAGCACCATCTTTAGCGAAAGTTCCTTATATATATATATATATATATCCCGTCTGTCAGTCCAAAGGGCACGTTTCTGACTCAGACTCCACTGAACCCATGTGAGACCAAGCCATGTAGTACGCCAGGCATCTTTGGGCATGCAAAAACCGTCTCGGGCCAGCCAAATCCGTCTCCCCATTCCACTTAGCAACATTGATCAGTGTGCTAGGAATACCAATAAGAGAGGGGGACCCGAACTATATAGCGGTATAACTAGACTAGCGGTATACCTTAGACCTTGTGGAATTGGCAAAACGAGGCGGTGAAAGACCTCTCTAGGTATATGCTATCTACTTGAGCAACTGCCGAGGAAATCCGGATCTCTACCGAGCGAGCGAAAACGCACGAGCTGTGTGGACTCGCAGAGCCACGTGGGCGTCGAAGATGTGCTTGGAGTTCATCCGATCGGGGGTCTACAAACCACCCAGTTCCTCCATCAACTGCGTACCCCGTGTTCCACTAGGTGGTGGAAAGAATGATTTATAATCTGATCCATGTGAGTTTGACCTGAGTCAAGTTCCGGAAGTTCCGCCGTGCTGCTTATGGTTTCCACCACTCTTTTGAACCAGGTGGCTCCCAGCTGCGCCAACATCCTCACAGTTTCCGTCAGCACCTCCGACAGCATCGTCCGGTTCGACACAAAGGGCGCCACATCCAGGACGATCAGGTCGGCAGCAAAGTCCACAAAAGGTAAATCCCAGAAGTGGTCCACAGGAAACCAAATGCCCGAAGCCTAAGCATTCGACCAAGACTCCTCAGGTCAACCAAAACTTCTCCATTGGTTCAAAATCGTTGCCCCATGAATTCGAGTGTCATCTAGAGTCATCTAGTCACTACAAACACTGCAGTTACGTTTTGTCTATTCAGTCAAGTGCATGGCAGCCCAATTCTGCTGAATCCTGCTTGGGCAGAAAATGAGGGGCTATATATTTCCATACAAACCACACCTTTGGCTACTTCTACTGACCACTCCTACTGAGCACTTGCTTGTGCTGTTTTCAGACTTCTACCTTCACTATCACTGCGACTATACAGGGCCGGTAACAAGTCCCACCAATCACGACCACAACCCCAACAATCAAATCAAATCACTACCTGGACTCGGACCTCCAAAGTGCCCTATAGGCCCTAGAAAATGGGATACGGCCGCAGCCCATTTAAACAGAGAAACACACAGGTATTTTGAGGACCTTTTGAGGGTCCAGGTACTTGTGAAACGACCTCCATGCAGTACACAAATCACGCCAGGATGCTGATTGATTGAACAAAGCTGCTGCATCCTCATCAGTGGTGCTCACCTGAAAGCCCCAGACTGAACAGACTCGCTTCAGCGAATCCAGCCTTTTGGAACGGCGAAAACCAACCCGTCCAGGTGGACAGGTTGGACATCCGCCGGTCGCAGACACTGAACATGAAGCATCAAAGCAAATCCCCCGTCTACCGATTGGGCGGGACCGCAATGGCATCGGACGGTGGATCGAAACAAATGGCTCCTTCCTCTAAGACCAGATTAGACTATTTTCTAACTATTAGTCTATTTCAATAATTCTAACTAATAGTTAGAATTCAAATAAACTAATAGTATAAACTAGGGGATAATTTAAAGTCTATTTTGTTGAATAGACTCAAGTCTATTTTGCTAAACAACCTTGGAATGTCAAGATTATGTTGGAAAAACCTGAGATCTTGTAAAGACATTTTGTTAGTTCATTTTAGGTGTTTGTGGTCACACTTTTGAAAAACACAAACTTGAGCAATGTGTGTGGCCCAAGTAACATTGAGCAGAGAGCCTAAGTAACATGGCCTAGGTAACCGTACATGGCCTAAGTAACATGCAAATTTTCTTTCAAACTCACATCACAAAGTATTTTTGGTGTCAAGTGTTGTGGAAGGCTCACAAGCTTCCAGAGGATCAGCAAGACTGACAAAAGGGTAGATGTTGTAGTTTCATGAAGAAACAAGTTTTGTCTATGTTTGTCCTAACTAGCATCGCACACATCTCCTTTCTTTGCTTTGAGCACCTGTAGCACACATGGCCGTCTCTAAGGGAATGAAGGTGGACCCTTCCAGTGGTGTGATGGACCTGCAAAGAGTGCTGCCAAAGGAAATGAACAGAGGAGCTGGCAAAGATCTGTTTTCTTGTTTGAAGCATCCTACCAATGCTCAGTGGAGTTGGAAGACAAGTTCTTGTCCTCAATGGATGGCTCAATGTCATGAAATGTTGGTGTATTTCTTGAAGATTGCACCAAATGGGCTACTATAGGTCAGCCAAAGTTAAGCTAGCACTACAGAGGATGATCCAAGACTGTTCACAAATGGTCAACAAAACACACTTCCATACAGCTGACTTTGTGGACCAGGTAGATCAAAGGATTCGTGTTTTGCTTGCACAAGCCAGAGGCATCAAGAAGAACCATGAAGCTTACGCAACAGCAATGAGGAAGGCCACCTTCGATTCCAAAGAGAAGGTTGACACCATTTTGGAACACCTGCAGTTGGACGGAGCTGATGACAGTACTCCTTCGACAGTACTCGCTCCACAGCTGATGACAGTACTCCTTGCATTTTACTTCACCAAATAGGTCAATATTACGTATACAAGCCCAAACAATATCTCAATAAATATATGGAAATATTGCATTTTAAAAAGTCAAATTCAACTATGACACCAAAGTGACACAAAAGTGACACTAATAGTGCCACTTTGATTTTGAAACTGCAACTTTTTCAGTGTAGTTTTAAATAAAAGTGACACTTTAAGTGTCAGTTGCAATGTAAAAGTTGTCACTTTTGTGTTCGTTTTGTGTCGGTTTTGTGTCGGTTTTGTGTCGCTTTTGTGTCGCTTTTGTGTCGGTTTTGTGTCGGTTTTGTGTCGCTTTTGTGTCGGTTTTGTGTCACTTTTGTGTGTGTGTCACTTTTGTGTCGCTTTTGTGTCGCTTTTGTGTCACTTTTGTGTCGCTTTTGTGTCGGTTTTGTGTCACTTTTGTGTCGCTTTTGTGTCGCTTTTGTGTCACATTTTGTGTGTGTGCGTCACTTTTGTCGCTTTTGTGCCGCTTTTGTGTCACTTTTGTGTCTCTTTTGTCACTTTTGTGTCACTTTTGTCTTACTTTTGTGGCACTTTTGTGTCGCTTTTGTGTCGCTTTTGTGTCAGTTTTGTGTCAGTTTTGTGTCACTTTTGCGTCGCTTTTGTGTCACTTTTGTGTGTCTTTTGTGACACTTTTGTGTCAGTGTTCAGTACTTTTATGTCAGTGTTATAATATGTTTCATGTTTTGCTTACGTCTTTTGTGATTTTGTTTGTTAAGTTCGTGTAGGTTAGTTGAAATGGCTAAATGAAAAACTAGGCAACTACATGCACAGTAGTATGAGTCCACTGTGGTTATCTATCTTGAAGCATTTGGCAACTTGTATTATGTTTGTTGCGTTGTCTTTTGTGGCTCCAGAGTTGCTTTGTTGCAACAAAGTGTTCTTGTGCATATGACAGTAAAAATATGTAAAAATAAGCAGCACAAAGTAAAGGACACAAAACAAACCGACGCAACGAAAGACAAAACGTGACATAGAACAACTCAAACATAAAAGTGAATCTAGGTAGCATTCAGTGGGGGTCTAAGTAGCACTTGGTGACCAGCCACGGCTTCACCAAACAAGAGGGAAGCAGCTACAGAAGAAGCAGCTACCCCTGCCAAAAGTGCACGGCAGGCTTTGGCACCTGCGACACCCATGAAAAGGCCAGCAGTATCAGTCAAGCCTCATGCAAAAAGCAAGGCAAAAGCACCACAGCCAAAGGCGAAGCCAACCATAGAGAAGAAGAAGGAGAAGGAACAGAAGGCAAAAGCCAAGAGTAAGCCCAAAGCAGTTCCAAAAAAGCATGAAAAGGACAGCTTTTCAGACAAAGTGCAGAAGTGGAAGCTGAAGGAAGACCACAAAGGTGATGAGCCAGAATCAGATGATGCTGGTGAAAGTGGTAAAGGCGATGCAACAGTAGCAGCAAAGAGGGGCTTGTCTAAGACAAGAAAATACAAGAGGTTGTCCGAAGCAAATGCAATTCACCAACACAACTCAGAACATGCGCATGGCCTCAGTAACAGTACATGGCCTATGATAAGTAACATGCACGTTTGTTTTTCACAATATAACACCACAAGTTTAGGTATATAGTTTGTATTTCCTGATGTTATTCTATAGAATAACCTCAAGGTTATGTTTCAAAATAGACTATTTCTCAATCTAAAATCAAGTCTATTTAAAATAGACTAATAGTTAGAAAATAATCTAGAAAAGCTGTTCTAACTATTAGTTAGGAAATAGTCTAATCTGGTCTTAGAGGTTTGATAGGAGGGCCATTGGGAAGTCCTGTTCTCCCTCCCAATCTCATGGATGTGGATGGCATTGGCCCCCTGGAAAATGTCATGAAATCCGAATAGCCGCGAACACCAAACAGGAGTGTGTGTTTCACTCACTCCACTTCGGAGTTGGAGGGCACATTCTGCACTGCACTGGTTGCTGCCTGGGTTAAAACGCCTCATTCGGAGCCTCCGAAAGGCCATGACTTTCCACGGTCCACGTCGAGACCGTTGCACCCTCCGGAGCGAACGAGGCCGAAACCGGGTGGATCGACCTGACGAGTCGGATCAGAACCCCACTTTACATGTTCCACGCACCACGCGACGATCACGCCGCCCGCTCCACGCCCGTTCTGGGGTGCCAGAGGGTGTTATGTACCAAAGATAGAGTTCTTGCACCAGAACTTGCACTAGAATGGTGTCCGGTCACAAAGATCACCAGGACAGGAAGCACTGGATCCCTAAGACCCCAGAGAACTTCAGCAGGACAAACTCGAACGAATTTCCCACGTACGACCCAGGGATGAGGTCGGGGTGAACATGAAGGCCACTAGTTGGTGGTTGTCTCTCATGTCGGGCGGGACGTGCTGTGCTCATGCTGTAACAAAAACAAAGAACTGAACATTTGCATGCACATATGTGGACTATAATGTCCACTGTTTTCCATCATGTTGTATGGGCCACTGTCCACCGCGAACAAGAACAAAAACCAAAAACACAAATGAATACAAACACCGACAAACACTATGAACAAACCAACCCACCAACACACACTTAGATTGATGCTCGCAAGAGCTAAATCAGTTGCGATCCTCCACTCTAGTGAACACAATACCGGTCTAGAGCGCTGAAGCCTGAACCTGTCAATGGCCCAATGGCCCTGTGCAAACAGCAAGGTGAAGAGGTCGGCAACAATATTGTTTACATCATCTGATCGTGAGTCTGCAGGTGCACAATGTGGCGTCCCACATTGCTTCACCACGAGCTGACAGTGCCTTCGTTGGGCAATGTCTGTCCGTCGTGCATCGCCCCCCTGCCTAGTGAGTTGAAAAGTACTAGGAACAACGAATTAGCGTGCACTGGTTGGTGTCCTTCGGTACAGGTGTGGACACACACACACAGGGCCGTAAGTCGGCGCTCGCTCTTTTTGTCCGCGGAAAGGGGGGAAGGGGAAAGAGGGTGTGGGAGTGCATTGACTAAACAAGCCTGGAAGCCAACCTAACAAGCTGAAAGAAAGAACAAGGCAAACGAAAAGGCGAGGAAAGAAAGGTGCAAGGGGTGCGGGGGTGTGGGCTGGGCGTGCGTTGACTAAACGAGCCTGAACGCCGACCCAACAAGCCAGAAGGAAAGCCCCAAGCAAACGAAAAGGCAAGGAACGAAAGGTGCGAGGGGTGTAGTGGGGGGTGTAGGGGCCCAGGCCCGAAGGCATAGGACAAAAAGCCGTAACCGGCGTTCCCTTGACTTACACCTAAAAAGCCTCTAGAAAACGAAAACAGACCTAGAAAACGAAGAGCAACAGCAGGAGAGAAAGAACCGAACAATCCTATGGCCTATGAATACTTAGCAGCATGACATGTGAATACTTAGCGGCATGACATGACATTCTCCGAAGTTTGATCTCAGTAAGCCCTGCGGCGTACGATCGGCACTTTCAAGCAAAACAGTGAGTCCAGTGAAGTTCACAACGAAGATCACGTGCAGTCAGAAGGATCAGGGGGGTCACCCTTAGCGGTATGTGCACATGCTGCGCCCCTCGTTGGGGATCACACCACAGACCGCAGTGGGACTCTGTGGCGGGACACACTTAGATTGATGCTCGCAAGAGCAAAACCAGTTGCGATCCTCTATCTAGTGAACACAATACCGATCTAGAGCGCTGAAACCTGAACCTGTCAATGGCCCTGTGCAAACAGCAAGGTGAAAAGGTCGGCAACAATATTGTTGATCATCTGATCGTGAGTCTGCAGGGCGTCCCACATTGCTTCACCACGAGCTGACAGTGCCTTCGTTGGGCAATGTCTGTCCGTCGTGCATCGCCCCCCTGCCTAGTGAGTTGAAAAGTACTAGGAACAACGAATTAGCGTGCACTGATTGGTGTCCTTCGGTACAGGTGTGGACACACACAAAAAACAACAACAAACACAACACAACACAAAATATACAAAAAAAGGCAACCACCACAACCAACAACCAACAACAGAAAACACAAGAACAACAACAACAACCACAACAACAACCACAACCACAACCACAACCAACAACCAACAACAAACGACCACAACAACAGCAACAAGCAATAGCAACCAACAACCAACAACAAACAACAAACAAACAACAAGCAACAACCAACAACAACAAAAACAACAACAACAACAACAACAACAACAACAACAACAACAACCAACAACAACAACAACAACAGCAACAACAACAACAACAACGTAACAACAACAACAACAACAACAACTACAACAACAACTACAACAACAACTACTACTACTACTACTACTACTACTTACTACTTACTACTTACTCCTTACTCCTTACTACTTACTACTTACTACTACTTACGACTACTTACGACTACTTACTACCACTACTACTACTACGACGACGACTACTACTACTACTACAACCAACAACCAACAACCAACAACAACAACAACAACAATCATCTTGGTCTAAGACTCTTTAGACCTCTCGGCATTTCTAAATTCAGATCATTTCTAGCCTCTCTGCCCAACTCCGACGCGTTGAATTCGTTCTGCACCAGGCGGCATAGAGCGGGAAGAAACCGGCGGTGTGGAAGACACTGAAGCGACTTGGCCCCGTCGCCAGCAGCAGCACCGAGCGATGGATCGACGTGACGTTGGGGCCCAGGCAGCTGCGCGCTGTGCAACGGCGCAGGTCGCCTGAGGACCACGCAGGTTGTGGAGGCTCCCTGGTCGTTGACATTGAGACGTCCCCAGGATTTTGTTGAGCGCCCGCTATGGCAGTTGAGACGTCCGTGTGCTTCGCACGCAAGCCTCAAGTGGTTGAGTGACGTGGCGGAAAGAGCTTCGACATCGGAAGAGCTTCCATTTTGCAAGATGCCCCTTTTCTCATAAATAACTCAATTCGGGATGCGTTCTGCATGTCGGGGATACACTTCACGCTTTGATTTGGACGTGTTGTTCATGCAGGGGAGCCCCAAACATGTATGGAATATAGTCGCCGTATATCGCAATATGTTGGATCCTGATTAGTAAATTAAAGGATCCTCTGTACTGCTAATGTTCAACAAAATCTGAACCCATGTTTGTGTTAAGGGTCCTCTATTATGCTAAACTTGTTGGTGATCCTAGTTTTCGAGTTTTTGATAATTTCAAAAAATAATTAGGGTTTAAACACCTTCAGAGACCTGTGAATACTACTAAGCCAATGACTGGCATGCTAAGAGTACTGATAAGATAAGCATAGATAGGCTGGTTTCTAGTTCTTCTTCAAAATTGACAGCTTTCCAATGCCATCAATTCCTTGATCAATCCTTTATGTAAAGGTTGCTCCTAAACAAATTTTCAAGGTAGTAGACCAAGAAGGCCCCTGATCCTGATCCTCAGCAAAAAAAATGTTTTAAGGGTCTTCAATTTAGTGGTAAGGTCAGGAGCCCCTAGTAGCGTCCTTGCTCCATAAGGCCAGGCGCCCCTAGTAGCGTCCTTGCTCCTAGTACTAAGGTTGCTCCTTGCTCCTAGTAGTAAGGCCAGGCGCCCCTAGTAGCGTCCTTGCTCCTAGTAGTAAGGCCACAACCCCTAGTAGCGTCCTTGCTCCCAGTAGTGTGGCCAGGGGCCCCTAGTCCTTGCTCCTAGTAGTAAGGCCAGGAGCCGTCCTTGCTCCTAGTAGTAAGGCCAGGAGCCCTAGTAGTGGCCTTGCTCCTGGTAGTAAGGCCAGGAGCCCCTAGTAATTAGCGTCCTTGCTCCTAGTAGCGTCCTTGCTCCTAGTAGTAAGGCCAGGAGCCCCTAGTAGCGTCGTTGCTCCTAGTAGTAAGGCCAGGAGCCCCTAGTAATTAGCGTCCTTGCTCCTAGTAGCGTCCTTGCTCCTAGTAGTAAGGCCAGGAGCCCCTAGTAGCGTCCTTGCTCCTAGTAGTAAGGCAGTTGTGCTTTCTCTTTCATCGAGTCTTCGATCCTACTTAGCGACTCTCTTCGACACGTCGACTCTCTTTTGTCGACCAGTGTGGCACTCCGCTCCGCTCCAGTCTAACATTAAAAACCTTTACTAATCAGGATCCCACAGAGCATATAGCATAGCATATAGGGCTATTTTCATGGGGTACATGCATATGATGTAACACCCACTTGCTATTTGGTAGACACCCGGCTCAAGCTAGATGAGCCTTATTCCAGTCCCATAGATGGTCCGTGGTAGGATCAGTCAATCCATTCCGGGGTCCCAGGCCATCCCTTTTTGGCTCCACGTGGCCGCTCCAGTGCTCCACGTCTCCGCTCCGGGGCGTCTGTCGAACGAAGAAGCGCTGCAGAAGCACATGGCCTCCACATGCCCAAGACGGAGGTACTCTAAAACCCCTCCAGTTGGCCTGAAAAAGAACCGTTTCCGGTAGGGCTTCAACGACCTTCGAATGCGCTCCGTAGCGCGGAACAACTGCTGGGTTGCGTGGAGAACGGCGGCGCCGCAGTTCCGAAGGCACCGTGAAATCCAAATGCAGGACCAAACAGGGGGCTTTTCACTCCACTTCCATAGTTAGTTCCTGGGAGATTAACCCTTTTCCACCGTGTGTTTGAGTGGGGAATCCTCATGAAACGGGCAGCATATCCACTGACTGGTCAGTACCAGGCAGCCCTGACCCAGGAACCCTAGGGATCCAAGTACCTTCTCAGCAGGTGATTGGAGACACCACTATGTAGGTTTGGAGGGTCCAATCACCTGCTGAGAAGGTACGACTGGATCCCTAGGGGAAGGAAGCCCTTGACCACTTGGAATCCCCAGGAAGGTCTCTGGTCTCGTAGCACTTGGAAAAGTGTAGATCGATCCGTGCGTCTCGGGTCGCTCGTCGCTGAAAACAGAGTGAGATCTTTGCTGTCTTTGATGGCATGTGGGAAAAGAAACGAGCCGGAGTCATGGTCCAAACCTCTGTCTCTTCTTATATATGAAACCCAGTGATGTGTGGATGTAAGATGAAACCGGATGTGTGCCAGTTGTGCGAGCCAAGACAAGCTCATGGTTTTACACGAGTTCTTCGCTTCTTTCGCACCTCATGAGCACCTAGCTGAACGGCCCACTGAACACTAAAAACACACGGAACGGTGATCTTCCACTGAGCACCTCGGAGAACGCACCCATGGAACGTTCTCTTTCTCAGAGGGAAGGTGGGGAAGGGTGGGAAAGACTCGTTCTTGTTTGACCCAGCCAAGGAAGTCTTGAAGCATGTTGAAGCATGTTGAAGCAATCAATATTAATCACATCTGCACTTGCTGGAAAAGCACAGAACATCAAGAACATAATTAGAGAAATTCATGCCGTCCAAAGGGGAACAAACGAGGGAGAGAGCGTTTTCAGATGCTTCAGGAACAGACTCTGATCGCCCAAGGAGCGCAAGGCGTAGATGGTTGTGATGGTGCCCGTCAGCACGCCCGCAAGGAAAAGCCCCAGTCGTCCGAAGAACGACATGGGTCGGCGAGTGGCACGTGGCAAAGAATGTCTATGTTTGGTTTAGATCTTGATGGGGTGTTGGGTTAGCATGGGCCTGTTGGGTGGTGTGTGGTGATCAGGAAGCTACATGAAGCTCGCTGAAGGAACTGTTCGTTAGAACCGAGTGTTGAGGTCCGACCCCCCGGTTGGTTTGGCAAGTACCATCTTCAGCTTGGCAAGAAATGCCATGCAGCTGGCCCTGCAACAAAGATCCTCTGCTGAGTTATACATCAGGACTTAATTGGCAGGATGGTGTAGGGACTTTGCCACCCACCCCGGTCGCTATGGTGCTTGAGCTTGAGCTGTCTGCTATTTAGTTGATATTGACTCTCATGACTTGATATGTTTTGACACTTGTTGACACTTGTCCTTACTTATGGTTGCTTTTGTTCTTCTTGTCATTGCTGTTGCAGTATGGCCACCACTAAGCGTAGCAATGCATATTCATGTGGACGCGGCTCGATGACGCGGATGGGGTGTTCCATGAGACAACGGTTTGACAAGCCAAAGAAGAAAACCATGTTGACTCGGCTGTGGGTCTTGGAGTGGATTCCTGTATGCTATGTTTCTTGTTTGAGTCTCCTACAAATAAGCTGAATTGATGTAACATGATGTGCCCTCCCTAGAATTATCATGGAAGTGGACGGCATGGCCCCTTGGATGATGGTCCATCCATGTAGGTAAATATTCCATAATTACCTGGAGTCTCAAAGAATCTGAGCTACAAGTACCTGCTATGTACCTGCTTGTTTGTTACTTATTTAATTTTAAACAATTATAGTAATTATATTATTATAGTCATAGCTCATGTCATGTCATGTCCAATTTGCCAACGAACTGGAGGTCCAGGTGAACTCCGAATTCTTCCCCCCATGTCGATTCCTATCGACCGCTTTACAAACCCTCCATGTCTGGCCAAAGACCGGAAGATCCTCTGGAGTTTTCAAGCCTGGGGGATCTTCCAACATCGGTTTTGGGCCCAGCCGGTTTTGGTGGAAAAACAACACTAGAAACCGGTAATACCTTTTCAGCATCCCAAAACTAGATGTTCTACCCAAAACGCGAAGAAAAAGCAACAACACCCCTGGACTCCTGGTCCCGTACTCACTCCAGGATCCGACCCCAGAAGGGTCCTGTCGCGAGAACGGGCCAAACACATCCACCCTGACACGACCTGTCTGGGACTGCCAGGACGGACTGCCGCCCCAGACAGACCCCCCTTTCACTCACCACCCCAAACGGCCGTGCCACTGCAGGCAGTCCGGACTGCCAGTCCCATGGGGGTCGTGTCTGGCCATATGGGGCCTCGATCGGAGCCTCGTTGAGTCAGATGAACGGATGTCCCGCCTTCCTTTTTCGCTCGTAGCGAGTGCAAGAGCCTGGCACATCGCGTGGCCACCACCGATCCGCGGGGAGCTGGTCGATCGGTGGAGCGGTGGTGGGGGTCCAAGATCGGTGGCAACAGATCCGCGTGAATTCCACGCGGAAGAAAAGGAACGAACAAAACCACCCCAGACACTCCATGTATGGCATATATGCCGATCAGTCCAGGGGTGGTTTTGGGGGTCAATGTAGGCATATATGGCATACATGGAGTATCTGGGCACGATCCCTCCGATTTTCTGCCGCCTCAGTTCTGCCCAGTTCCGTGGAATTGCATGGAGGCTCACCAGTTCACCCGGCAGCCCAATGGGTCTTCGGATGTCCATCGTCCGTCCGGGGCGTCTAAGCATCCTAACATGACTGTGGAACATCTGGGGCGAGTCTCCAACGGGTTAGACGTGATCCTTTTCCCAGACACGACTAATGGGACTGCCATATAAAGAAAGGACTCCAATCGAGGTTCTGACTGATATATCCCAGACGCTCCATGTATGCCATATATGCCTACATTGACCCCCAAAACCACCCCAACTGATCGGCATGTATGCCATACATGGAGTGTCTGGGTTTGCACGGGACGTTTATTTTCCCACAAACACCACGGTCCCCATGCTCCGATGTATCGGTTCTTGAACGGAGTTGCTGTCAGGAACCGGGAAGAAGACAGATATTCCTTGGGTCAACCTCCGATCTATCCAGGGGACTTGGATGATGGGGCCGGATGTTGCAGGCCTTCATCTCTTTTCAAATAATGATTTGCTGGTGAAAACTGACTGTTACAGGTAGTAGGACAGACCCAACATATTTCCCAGGCCAAGGGATTGACCCAGTTCGGGAAAAGAAAGAATCCTTGAATCCTTTCGCAAAGACTGAGCCATTTGGCAAGATTTCAACATCCAGGTTTTCACGAAGCAACTTGTGGAGTATCTTTCAACAAAACCCGATGAGCGAAGAATCCTCGGATCACCATTGCGGCATGACCCGATCGATGTTCAAAGTTTACCGTGCAGCATGGCCCAACATGTGAGTATTCAGCGATCTGTTCCCACGTCCCTCTTGCGTTATAATCCCCGAACCACCATCGATGTATACACGTATAATATAGGTTTTACCAAGCAACCATGATCAACTATATACATATATACCTATAGGCTTCCAAGACCATTCAAAGAAAGGTTGACCTGGTTGCGTAGTGTAAAATCCTTAGTAAAACAATGGTGGTTCGGTAAAGGCCATGAAAACAATGGTTGTTGGAAGCCTAGGGTATATATTATATGTATAAGGATTTTACACTACAAATCCACGTCAACCATCTTTAAATGGCTGAATTGGTCTTTGAAAGCTTGGGGGTGCTCTTTGTCTCGTGGTGAAGTGGGGCCACATGATCTGCTGTGAACTTCAAACCCAAACCCTGGGCCCATAAGGCTCTGTTGGGTTCTGGGTGCTGAGAAAAAACACAAAAACGTTTTGCACGACATCTCACCGTCACCTACGACACATGTTCCAACTCAGCCCAGATGCTCCAACATCTCAGATGCTGGCAATTGTTTGAAGGCCCTTTCCTCTCCAAACGGGTCAGAGGCACCACGAACGACCCCAAAACATCCTATTTCTGTGCGGAAAGATGAGGGTGTGCAGCATCAATAGACACTGTTGTTCAAACTGATCAAACTGAAATGAACAATTCTGCTATTCTAACGGTTCAATACGTTTCAAAGTTTTGGCTAAAAAGGTCAGGGACAGGTATCCAAAAAGAACATGCCATTACTCATGCCGTTTCATGCCGTTCAATTCAATCAAACATCGATTATGTTTTTAAACCATAGGTTATTGAATGAAGCATCAACGGGATTTTCAATGACAAACCAACAGGTTTTGGTGGGCTTCAAATTGAAAATCGGTAGGTCTCAAGTGGAAAAACAATATGTTTATTACACCGAAAAAAACAGGTGTGACGTCAAACATTTCGATTGGTTCTTACAAGAGGCCGGGCTGTGAGAAAAACCTATTGAAAAGATCAATCCCCCTGGTCGACAGGCGTTATTCTGTCTCATGACGCTGAGGGACAGTTGCATTTTCACTTTTTCCCAATTGGTTGAAAGGGATTAAGTTGCACATTGACATGGAAGCGGTGACGACTTCCGTAGTGAAGGTCTTTCCGGAAATGTTCTAACGACATGGAACTAAGCAAAGCTTGCAACCTATCGTCAAAGTCGGGACAAATTGGCACACAGTATCATTCTCAGCACAAGTCAAGCTGCTATACAAATGAAGCAAGCAAGTGAAAAATAGTGAAAGGCCATGAAAGGCCAAGGGGAGCCAGAACAAAGCGTGATGTGAGGGCAATTGCGTGTGTGATTCAAGGGCTCCATATTTTCGGCTCATTTGCTGCTGATTTGGCAGTGCCGGCTCATCACACGTGTGCTTGCGTTGACACATAGGCTGTTTATGTATCATGTCTGTGGTATCTGAAATCCATCCAACCAAAAGGAGCGAGCTGTTCAAAGTCTTCGACATGTCCTGAAAGTCCGGTCGACATGATTCATGACCGGAGGATGCGTCAAGTCATCTGGAGCCGTAATTAGAATCGATCGATGGACATGAAGCACCGAGGTGTATGGAAGTCATTACCTTTTATGAGCCACCCGAGGCGGCAGGAGCTGTTCCAACGTCGCAGGAGGCGTAGCCGTGAGCTGCCGGCGGGTAGAATTGTTCACCATTCCAACGTTAGAGTAGCCGTGAGCCACCCGACCAAAAATTTTGTGCAGGAAGGACCCATTGCCATGTAGCATAGCTTTTGTGAGTCGCCCTTCTGAAATTCAACACCCGATGTCCGCCGAAGCCCACCCCAAATAAAACCCTAAAGAAGTGAAACTCCAAGTCAAGCCCAAAGACATCCTAAAGATCCTAAAGATGTTGTTAAACAGTTAAACATCAAAAAACTAAGCCAAACCCAAAGAAACCCTAAGCTCCTCTCTCCTGCTCCTTCTCCTTTGCGTTCTCGGCCTCTCTCCATCTCTCCTCTCTCCCCCTCCCTCTCCCCTCCTCCTCTTTGTTCCTTCTCCCTCCCAAAGACCACATAAATCTGGAGCAATCATTGCTGCGGCCCTGTGGTTCCGGTTCTGGTGGTAGTTAGAGGCGAAGATCGGATCGGTTACAGTATGCTTTTGGCCGAAGAATTCTGGTCAAAAACCCTCAGCCCCTTAGCCCCGTAATCCAGATTCTCAGGGATGATGCAACATGATGGCAAAAGTCCGGCCACCATGGCTTGTCAGTCCTTTTTTGAGCACCTTGTTAAATCGACTTTCTCCGCCATCAAACCCCTAAGCCACCTCAGAAAACACCGCGGGGGTGATGCTGATGGCGATCTGATCTACTTGCCAGGTGGCCCAAGGCCCAGTGCAACCTTCGTTTCAGGCGGCCGCCAGATGTTCTTGGGAAGGGGATGGAAGGGGGATGGTTGTTTTCCCCCTAAACACGACCGCCACCTAGGACTGCCATGGCGGGTTCTGGACGAGAAACGGCCAGGGGTGGTGAGTTTGGAGGCTCAACATAGGCATATATTCACAGAGAGTGTCTAGATATATGTGTTCTTACTTGTGTCTATATATTTTGAATCTTTAAAGACACCAATTCTGAAAGCTGGCGAGCATGCATTGAAAATCATTCAACAAAAAGGAAAACAAAAACGTCTTTCCAACCTGCTCAGCTTCGACGTTCCACGTCGCGGATGTCCATGTCGAACATCGATCACGGCGAACAGCGAACGGCTGTTCCAGCCGCTCTCGAGCGGTCCTCCCGGTCGCAGGCAAATCTGCTCGGCAAGGACGAGGAACGATGAGATGAGGTCCCTTAGAGGTGCGGTCTGCGGCAGATATGTTTGCTCAAAAGAAGCAAGTGATTGTTTGTTTTAATAAGGGACAACAAGTGTTCATGGGTATTCGGTATTTCTAAGGTTTCAACTTCTTTCATCGCTCTACCTACCCAAAAAAACACATGTCAGCATCAATTCAATATGTAATTTCTTGAGTGATGTTTGCTGATAAACTTCTTGCCTATATTTCAAGGAGAAGGCCGCGACACCCAATTAGTTGTGCAAAATGATTGCCGAACTCGGCTGGCTTTACAGCCGAGAACAGGCAAACATTTATGAATTTTGCTTATATAATTGGAAGATCTAGGTATGTACTCAGCTTGCCTATTTATTATATATATAGGTCCAACTCACTTCTTCCATAGTCCTTCGCTCCGTCCATGCGAGACCATGTGTTTTTAGCTTTCTGGGTCACTCACTGATGGGACCTGAAATCATCACCAAACTCAAGACCCAAAAAAAATCCTACCAGTAACAAGGGTTGATAAATACATTGAAATTAGACCAAGATCCACCAGATAGGAAAGGACCTTCCCAATGTTGAAAGTGACCCAAAACCTCCACCTTCAAATACCCCCTCCAATTTGTAGAGCCAAAGCCCCAAATCCCGGCCTTCCAAAAACCTCCCTTTCTCACCGAGTCGGGGTCTTTCTGCCGAGAAACCATCCCAGCCCACATCATCAGAATCATCATCACTGTCCTTACGAGCCAGGGTGGAAAAGGGTCGAACATCCGGCGGATGTTAAAACCATTTCAGGTAATTAGAAGGAACTCGGGACATCAGGAATCAAGGTAGACCCGCAAAGACCAGATGAAGCTGTGAGGTGCGGGCTTTCTATAGAATTCTGTAAAAACCCTTGATCTTGGGAGTCGAACGGTACCCGACTCTCCCAGGTCTTTACCTTTACAGCCCAGCTTGAGCTGGGCTAATCGGACAAGTTCCAGGCAAGCAGCACATGTGAAGGTGAAATCCTTAGTATAAATTAGGGGCGCAAGCATGTTCTTCCTGTAGATGTTCCTGTATAGGAACAAAAACACCGCGATTGTGGAGAAAATGGGAGGTGTTCTTGCGCCGTTGAACGGTAGTTCGACGCAGCTCTCGTCCGGGGTGGAATCACGGCGCATGGGAGGCGCTCTGTTCGTGCCTGGTCGAATACCCTCCAGTACCCTCCAGTTGCTGCCAGTAGCGAGCGAGTACAGGTCCTTAATTTACCGAAAAGGAGTCGTGTTTCTGCATAATCCACTTTATTATCCCCATAGGAAGTCCAAGATGATTCTTTAGGTGACCCGAGTCAAGTTCATTCCTTTACTTCAGGCTTCGTCTTCAGTCGTTGTGGTATCAGTACCCCGAGTCGATCGGCCTTTCTGGGGTGTATGGCTTTGACAAACCCGAGCTGAGTGTTTTGCGGTGGATTGTGTCGACCGGGAATCACCACATCAATGCTGACCTGGATGGCAAACCATCTTGATCTATACCTTCAAAATGACCTTGTGAGATCCTAGAATGAGGTCACTTGGTTTGTAAAGAGGTCACTTAGAGACTCCAAAGAGGGTACTTTGAAGGTCCTGGTATGTTGATTCCGAATTCGAGAAAATCTGGCCAATCCAAATATGATGTATGTATACGACGAGGTTCTCCTTCTCCGGGCTCCCAACGAGCTTCACAAAACGACCGTTGGATGAAGACCGGGGACTCGGTTGGACGGGACGGTTTCAAACGTATCAACGGTTTGCGACGGTTTCCCAGCACCACCCGAGTTCTTGGGTGGTTTTATAAAGCCCCCCATGACTGTTGCCCTATGGATCCACTGCCACCCTCTGAGAGGGTTATGATTTTTATGTATAGGCTTGGAAGGTCCAAGTACCAGTCGTACCTTCTGAGAAAGTACATGGATCGATCCCTGAAATAGCGTAGCTACTTCCATCCCAAAGCCATGCCGAAAACGGCTCTGAAGAAGGAAAGACCTCATTTTTGGATTCCCAAGATCTCATCAAAACCCAGCCCCCAGCTACCGCACCGGTGAGTCCCACCTGCCAGGCGCGGCCGCACCGCACGGCGGACATGTCCACCTCCCTTCACGCCGGTGTCGATGTGGAGTCTCCGAACTCCCCGCACACCCGGAACAGGGTCTCGACTGCCGCGAGAGCGAACGGGTCGCAAACGATCGAGCGGAGCGGAGCGGCGTCTCCTCGACATGCAGGAAGGAGTTCTTCACCAAGAGCTTGTGAGAGCTCTCAAAGACTCGGTCGCTTCGGGGTGAAACCAGCGGCGGAGCGGACCAGGGCTAGGTTAGGTGAAAAGGAGTGAAGCCATGTGAAGCCTTTCAGGTGCATGCACGTGGTTCTTTTTTTCAGAAAAAACGCTGTGACTCGCAGTCCACACCATCCATCAGTGCAGGATTGACGCATACAGAACAAACATATACATCCCCCTCAGAACTCTTGGCTCAAATCCCCAAGACGGTTTTGACCCGTCCCGGACTATAAACCACCACTTGGGATGCATAAAAATTAGTCCAAAACCTGGCCTCTTTGTTCCATTGGTTCTATCAGAAATGGACGTACTGTATTGCAGTGCCCAGGAGTGTGTGTAACAACATATGCATTGCTGCATAGTCCCATTGGAGCGTCAGCCACCCTACCAGCTTGCTTGATTTCATTGCAGACAACGACGAAGCAACCTTCTTGTTGGTCAGTCCGTCTTGTCTCCCTTCTGTTGTTCCTTTTGTCCCTTGTTGCTCATGGTGTCCATCACTCCCTTTTCGAACTCGGTGAAGTTCTTTTTTCTCCATCCGCACCCCCATCCCTGCCAGGTCGCCCCCCTGCCAGGTCTATTGAAACGTGGTTTCGCCAATCACAGAAAAACAGCCACGGATCAGCGACGTCAGGATGCTTACTGGATGGTCATATAGGATCCCCCGATGTAGGGATCCACTGCCACCTTCTCAGAAGGTACGACTGGGCCCTCCAAGCCGAGGTCTCCAATCACGTGACAAGGTATGACTGGATCCCTAAGGTACAATAAATGACGATAAACGACGTATTAAACCCCAATCCAGAGTGCCCTTGGGGAGGCAGCCGTGAACCCCGTTCCTCGATTGTCCAAGTGACACGGCCCTGGCCTTCCAGCTGCCATGTGCCTCAGCCGGGCCGGTCCGCGATCTTTACACTCCAAAGTATCCAGAACATGGAGACATGAGCGATGTTTGCTTCATTTACTTCGATCCCATCCAAAAAGGGCCATCACAGGACAAAACCTGATGACCACCACCCATTTCGAGTGCTTCTTGGATGGAAAATAAATGACAAGACCTATAATATCCGCCGACCCCGGCCTATAGCCAAAGCCTAGGCGGGGAGGCGCCTGGGACACCGCAGGGTGAAGCAGTTGGCCAAGCCTAGCAGAACCCTTCCAAGCACTTCCAAAGGCCTGTCCGAGGCCTCGCCAGCTGGCAGGCCTGCTGCGGCCTCTCTGTGGCCTGTCCAAGGCCTGCCTCCTCTCTCGGCAGCTGGCAGGCCTGTCGCGGCCTCTCTGTGGCCTGTCCGAAGCCTGCCTCCTCTCTTCTTATGGGCTTCCGAAGGCGACGTTAGGCATTTTGGACCGCCTTCAAACGCTCCTCGGCAGCTGGCAGGCCTGTTGCGGCCTCTCTGTGGCCTGTCCGAAGCCTGCCTCCTCTCTTCTTATGGGCTTCCGAAGGCGACGTTAGGCATTTTGGACCGCCTTCAAACCCCCGCCCGCGGCTTCAAACCCTTCCCAGCGCCTTTGGCCTACTCCTGCGTCGCAGGCCTGCCTCTTCTCTTCTTATGGGCTTCCAAAAGCGACGTTACGCATTTTGCACCGCCTTCAAACCCTCCCCCGCGACTTCAAACCCTTCCCAGCGCCTTTGGCCTACTCCTGCATCGCAGCCTTGCCTGCGTCAGCCGGGAGCCCCCCAGCGCCTTTGGCCTACTCCTGCATCGCAGACCTGCCTCTTCTCTTCTTATGGGCTTCCAAAAGCGACGTTAGGCATTTTGCGCCGCCTTCAAACCCTCCCCCGCGGCTTCAAACCCTTCCCAGCGCCTTTGGCCTACTCCTGCATCGCAGCCTTGCCTGCGCCAGCCGGGAGCCTGGGGAGAGAGCCTCTGGAACGTGCAGCCCGTGCACTGCAGCCCCAGCGCCTTTGGCCGACTCCTGCATCGCAGGCCTGCCTCTTCTCTTCTTATGGGCGTCCAAAAGCGACGTTAGGCATTTGGGCTGTCCAACAAGGCTCAGCACCAGCCACGCAGATAGACCTGCAGCCGTCCACAGGAAGTGCTACGGTCAGCACCAGGGCTGCCGCAGCACAAGCCTTGCTGGCTCAGCACCTGGGCTGTCCAACAAGGCCCCCGCAAACAGCCGCCAGTCTATTAGCACAGCCAGAACAGAGGCATTGCTACTTCGTTTTCTTCTGTTTCTTCTTCTTCTTCTTCTGCTTCTTCTTCTTCTTCTGCTTGCCATTCTCCAGCCACGCAGATAGACCTGCGGCCGTCCACAGGAAGTGCTACGGTCAGCACCTCCTCTTGAAAAGGGGTCGGCGGCACCCGGGCGAAGCCCTTACAATATTATATTAATATACTATAAATATACAAAATATTGTATGCTATAGTACAGAGGGTTTTATAACCCCCTGAACTGGGTGGTGCTGGTATGGCTCATTGAAATCTATTGAACACCCCCAAGAACCGAGCTACGACTTGCTTTCGCGTGTCCTCATAACGGTGCATCACTTCTGCCTAGGGCTCCAACTACCTCCGTTTCAAAGATTTCGCGAACCCGAAAAAAGGACAGGAGCCTAAACTGACGGGCCAAATACCCTGCTGATCCGGGATCGTCCGCAGATCCCACGTGTCGGACGGCCCTTCGCTTCTGAGTTTCGCGGGCTCAAAGTCACGCGCTGCAACGACTCGACGCGTGACCGGACTGACACAACATTCGGGTACGACGAGGGCGTCCAACTGGAGTCGTGAGGAGCTTCAATTCGTGACGTCGCGTCAAACTAGAGTCTCTGTTCGTGACGTTTACCAGGCCTTTTCGGGACCTCATCTGGCAGTCTGACTGGTTTGGGACCTCATCACGTTTTGATAGTCATGACCATTGGAGCGACCACCTGCATTGGAACAAGTGGATTCCTCAAAAAACGGTCATGAACCGCAGAGCGTCCGCCACTGGGATCGTGTGGCACAAGGAATTCCATCGTACTGCCAACAGGAAACATCTACACGAGAAAAAACACCGACATCAACAAGCATGCAATACCATTTCCAGGACACCCCTTAACCTCTAAGGAGCCATAATTAGACACCCCCCCCTTCCTGGGGGTCCTGGTTTTCCACCAAGTGGTCTTCACCACCGACCGAGCTCCGCTCTCCTTACACCGATCTCTGGGGCGTCGGCAGTTCCATCTGGGGCAAACCGACTTGACTGCCAGGCACCTGCGATGTGAGTGTCCCAGGGTGTCAACTCGCTGACTTGATCTGACTTGCTGAGGGGAGGTCCGGTTGTCTGGTGACGCATGAGAACACTCCACAGACTCTCTTGAATTGAGGGTGATTGGAGACCGTTTAAGAAGGCGCCAGGAGGGTCCAGTCGTACCTGCTGAGAAGGAATGTGGTTCCTTAGGGATAGATGTTTCGGTCCAGAAAACATCGTGGACGTCCGTGCTTCTTTTTGGGATCTTATATTTAAATAGTTGCACTATGTTGCACAATATGTATTTAAATAGTTGCACTATGTTGCATGTATCAGTTCAAATCAGAAACTCTGGCAATCAACTTGGTGCTTCGATAGCTTTAGCATGTTCATCTTGATTGCTCTTTATGCATTCATCCATTGAAGGCAAGGAAGTGAGTGGCAGGCACAACGGCACGAGAAAGGCCGGGCAATTGGAAACCCCTGGCCAAACATCCAGTCACGCCCGAGAAAGGAAACGAGCCCTAGGGCTGATCCAGTCGTACCGAACCTCAGGTTCGGTACGACTGGACCCGACCCTGGCATCTACATAACAGTGTCTCCTTGCTCACCTCCTGACAAGGCACAACTGAATGAAGAACAGCCTTGGGGATGGAGAACTCTGTAGGAAGAGCTCACCGCCCACAAGGCAAGACCTTGCCTTACGAAAGATCAGAGTATGGTACCAGAAAATAACGATCAAACTTAAAGCATCATCGGCATCTTAAAATATACTAAAAACACCCAAACATATAACTATAAGAGCGAAAAACATATAATATAGGATATCACAGGCATCAGAGAAAAGCACATAATACACCTCGATCCGGCCGAGTGTTAACGGGCGATTTCTGAGAGTTTCAATTGGACGGAAAGGCAGATCAGGCTCAGGCATACTACAAGTATGACATCGTTTATTTCAAGAAACATCAGAAAGACTCGTCTCAGGCGACACGTGTTTAGGCTTACCAGAAAGAAAAAACACCTCAGAAGCTATGGCCTTAAGGCAGCAGCCAATTACATTGATTGATCTGCTTTGATCACCTACTGACCTTGCATTTTGCGATCTTTTGGGGAACCCTTTCCTTAAAATCAATATACGTACTATGTGCCAAAAACGGTTTGAACGACAAGTTGTCACCCCAACTCCAATCAGTTTTGCCCTCACTCCCAACTCCTCGCCGCGCTCTGCCGTACACCGGACGCCGCCGAACGGACGCGGCGCGGCCTCCAGGGATGGGGCGAGCGTCCCAGCCGCGGGCATCATCATCGAGGCGACCGGGTCGACGCCGACGCCTCGGGGCGCAGGGATGGGAGGGAGGGGAGGGTTGGCAGGGACCGAAGTCATGAAGTACCATTCTGAAGAGGTAGATAGTACTGCTGATTCTATGCTGGATGATTCTTCTTCTAGGATGGTTGATGGCACTTCCCAAGTAGAGAGCACAAATTGATGGCGTATCAAAGTTTTGCAAGTGCCCTGAAAGTGTGCTTCCCTGCTTCCCTATATATATAATATAACTAGGATGATTTCTGGGTGGAACATGGTGGACCCAGACCATGTTGAAATCTCGGGGCATGCATGGACCTTCGTTCCGCTTACGGGCCCTTCGTTCGCGGAACTCGCCACTCGGCGAACGGGTCGTCGTTCGCGGTCCACATACCGCTAGGACGGACTGGATGGGAGGAGCTCCACCTATAAAAGCGATGGCCTCCACCTAATTCATAGCGGTCTCCAATCACCTGCTGAGAAGGTACGACCGGATCCCTAGGGATTGCTATTTGTTTGATATTTTTTGTTGGTTTCAGAATGGCACAATCACCAAGTCCGGTCTATAGATGCTCATGTGGTCTAAGGCTGGCGTGGCTTCGTGCGGACCTCTGAAATGCGGACCTTCGTAGGACCCTTTTGGATGGGATACCGCAGAATAACATGACATACCCAGTGCCAGACACGACCCATGTCTGTCATATATGCCGATCAGGCCAGGGGTGGTAGAGCCGGGGTCAATGTAGGCATATATGGCAGTCCCATGGAGTGTCTGGGATATAGAAAGATCAATCAGGTGGAAAAACACAAATACAAAGGGCTGCCTATGGGAGGATAGGAGTGCCGCCCGGTATCCACTCACTGGATGGGACAAAAAACCACCCCGACATGTGAATCCTGGAATATCATCATTGCTTTAGCATCGTTCAGAGATTGTTCAGACGGGTGCCAATTTCCCCTACCTTGGAAGTTGAAAGGGGGGTCAATTCCCCTGCCTTTTGACCACTTACAGGCATTCTTGTATCAGATTTCAGACGTATGCAGCGTATACTGTATACTCCACAAAATACCGTTGTGAGGATATGTTGCCTGAGTACCCAAGTCGTGTTGAAGCTATAGCAGCTAATATCAGCTGTATAGATTGGTTCATCTGACATTGACATATTGGTTCAGCGTTAAAAGGAAAAACTCTATTAGTCTATAAAGGAGGTGCAAGTGTAGACGTCTTTCTGCATCTCTTAAGGTTGCACTTCGGACCCTGGGGATCCGTTTTCGTACCGAACCGACCCGGTTCGGTGTCTCCTGGACCCGACCTCCTGGCTACATCACAGTGTCTCCTTAATAAACCGTACCGGGTCTGTACGAGAACGGATCAGTAGGGAAACATATCCCAAACACTCCATGTATATGGCATATTTACATATTGACCCCTAAACCACCCCAATGTAGGTAAATATGCCATACATGGAGTGTTTGGGTATTTCATGACAATGACATGAGCCACTTGATGTGCCGTGACCAAGGAGTGTCGTTCGTTCCCCCTGCGACGCTACTCGTGTCGCGGGCGACAGTTTGAATCGGAAGGGGTGTCTTTCAGGAACATCCAAGACTCGGTCAGTCCAGATCCTTTAGTCTGAGGTACCACTGAGCAAGGTAGGCCCTACTCTGGTCAGTTCGGGTCAGGAAGCGACCTCATCGTGCAGTTGATCACCCAACCTTGGGTCATGCAAAAAACATCAAATCACACGGACCTGGGTCACTGGACCGTCTAGACAACGGTCCTGGAACGAAGAAACCGAGGATTTCATGTGTTTCACCGACTCCATCTCTGAACCATCCAATATGTAGGTAACTATTCTGGATGGTCTGGGTACTTTGACACTTCCCTACGTGAGCTGTGCCAACGAAAGACCAACAACCTTCCCCTTACAAGCCGCTAAGCCGACATGTGACTCCGCAGCAACTCGCCAATTGGAGGATTGCCCGTGATCTACTCACTGGATGGGACTAAAAACCAACTCCATGTGACTCCTGGTCGGTTGCTGCGTTGGTATTCATTCGTCGATCTACCCGCCAGGTCCACCATATTCGTATGTATTTGTGTTGAGCTGAACGGACCTGGCACGTGGTTTTTCTTTATTTGTTTTTTTGACTGGGCCACCGAGTGTCGACCGGCATGATGTGCCCCCGCTCTCGCCTGGCAAAGTGCCAGGGAAGGAAGTCATCGGCATCATGTTCGGATAGACCTGGACGCGCCCGTGGCAACGGGCACGGTGTCTGTGAAACAAAGAACGACACCTCGTCTGTACTGGTCTTGGAGGTGAGCAACTCATTTTCCGGAGAATGGTCGAACACGGTCGAACTGAGGTCAAAGGACATGCTGGGAACATTCAGGTGGGGGGATTCCTGGTGTGTCGAAGGTCTTACGAATGTATAGTGATGTATCCCAGACCACCCATGTCATGGAATAGTTACATGCGGGTCGTAAATGAGGTATGATGAGGTACATTTATATACTTGGTAATTGCTCCAGTCGCATTGTTCGTGTCTGGGTATGCAAACAATCTACAAGTTCTCGGCATGTGTCTGTGCTATTCAATGCGGAAGGGTGCCGAACTGCTTTTCCAGAAGCATGCTCAAACCACCCCCAAGCCCCCAAGAGCACAGGCAAATGATGGCAAAATGCATGGACTCGTGCACAGGCAACCAAGATCCTGGACTTTAAGCACCATCAACTATAGTCTGTACATGTCTTTACCGAACAACCTGTTGTACGATGTTGTACGAGTTTAGGCTACCAAACCAGTTCAAACATCCTCTTTTCAATGGATCTTCCTGGTTTAGGGGAGCCCGGCGAAGCCGGATAGACGGAGCTTCCTGGACGGATCCGCGGCCCGACTCAGCCGGCATGATCCTGCAGTCGTGAGGATCGTTGATATACTGAGTTACTGGATGGCCGGCTATGGCACTCACCAGTTCCAATTTACCGCAAAAACATCTTTCGAAGCCTATTATTAGCTGTCCAAAGACCATGTGACTTGGTTTATTTCGCACCACCAAAGATACCAGGGACTCCCATGTTGGTACAACTCTTCATCGTTTTTTTCACGGCATCTTTTGTTTCCCCAGTCGACAGGTAGACCAAAAGAGGCCGGTCTTGAACAAAAACGCCACCAGTCACCCCCCCTATGAAGAGGCCTAGACGACTGAGAGACATGTCTCATGTCTGTCTCAAAACGGGAAATCGACCGGAAATGTGAACCCACACCCATACACGACTCGGACTGGAATAGGACTACCGCCCCATTGACTCAACCCCTTTTCAACCACCCCGTGGGTCAAGTCCTATGGCAGTCCCATGGGAGTCTTGACATGATGCTTGGGCCCGGAACCACCCAACATCACGGGGTCCGGTCGATCGAGCCCGGGTCGAGGCATGGATCCCGAGAGACGTGTCACGGGTGGCCGCGAAGTCGAGGATTCCAAACGGCCAGGGGTGGTAGTTAAGGGTTCAATGTTGTAGGATATTGGCATATATGGCAGTCCCGGAGTGTTTGGGTGTGATATCACATGTGGAGTCGACCTGTGAGTACGTACCATCATGATCGCATGGGTATCCCTTTTGCACTCGTAGTAGTGTTTTGTTCTAAATGGGTTCAGCCCAGACGCTCATGGACCCATGCTAAGTAGTCGCCGTACCCTCATATGGAGGGGTCCGGACCCTCAAATCCCTATCGTTTTGAGGGACCGGTCGGCCTGTTTGGAGCATCTGGGAGGTCCTATTTTCCCAGGGTACGAACTTAAGTTAAGGGTGCAAGTGGCTCTTCACATGTTCCTCATCACTGGGTGGCTGACAGAAAGGTTCCACCTCTTTGAGTCCTGCGGGTAGAAGAATGGAAAGTGTGTGAAGCAACTTGGGGCACCTGTACGGAACACTCAGATCACCGGATCAAATGTTCCTTTCTCTTAGATGTTTAGTCCTGATATGATATTGATTCATATATACCTTAGGGATCCAAGTACCTTGTCAGAAGGTGATTGGAAACTATTTATGTAGGCTTGGAGGGCCCAGTCGTACCTTCTGAGAAGGTGGCAGTGGATCCCTAGGGATAGATAAATATTGTGAAATTGCCCTTGGAGTGCATTTCTTGTCAGGTGTCCTCACGTGGCCATATTGGCTGAAGGCCTTGAGCCGTTGTTCGGCTTGATCGGAAAAGGCGTGTGCCGCTATGTCGTGAGGTCTAGTGACCTAGGACCGGTTGCAGTTGATTGTGATCTACATTGACATTGAGTTGTTGGGTATTTGCTGCTACCAGTTCCGCATGGTAGCGGAGCCCCGCTCCAAGGGGCTACCGTTGACCACCAGTTGTTGACAACAGTTGTTGGCAGTTGTTGGTGTGGTGCGACCATCCTGGTCGCCAGTGTGCAGTGACACAGGTCACTGATCCAACAGGATCATTCTGATCCAATGGAGTCGAAGGACCAGTCCTTCTACTCTTTGAGCTTTGATGGCAAGCCCGCGTCGTACCGCGAGTTCAGAAGAAAGACAATCCTTGCAGTCGCAAGCCTGGAATCAAAGCATGTGCACTTAGCTGGACCTCGCCTCCTCGCTCGCCTCACTGGTGAAGCCTACAGGGCAACAGAACGTCTGAATGTTTCAGAGTTGAGACAAGAAGATGGCTGGACAAAGGTGATTCGTGCGTTGGATGCTCACTACCAGTTTCTGCCTCAGACAGAAATGCATGATGCTGTTGATTCATTTCTCTTTGACCTCAAAAGACGTCCACACGAAGGTGCAACAAGTTTTGCTTCGCGTTTCAAGACAGCATTGGCGCGTGTTCAAACTTTGATTGCACAAGAACGTGAGACGCTCAAGGTCAAACGGAGACGACAGGGGAATGGTCCCAAAGATGCTGTCCATGATCCTCCGAGCAGTGTCGAACCGACAGATGAAGGAACCTATGATGAGGACATTCATGGACGCTTCTTTGAGAGCCTTCACCGTCAGCCTCCGGCTGGCCCTGCCGCGTCAGCTGCAGGTGCAAGACCGGCCTCAGCACCGGGTGAACACGAGCGTGAGGAACCACCTCCTCCCGCCGATGCTGAGGTACACACGGAGCCTGCACGAAGCAGGCCGGCTTCAACGACAAGTTCAAAGAGAAAGGCAGAATCCAAAGGTACTCAAGCTGCTGATGAAGAAAAAGACCGATTGAAGATGGAACAAATGCTGGGCAACATTGAAAAAGGTCACCTCAAGCCGAAGCCTATTTTCCCACAGACAGTGTTGGGGCATTTGTTCATGAAGAAGTTTGGGCTTTCACGTGAACAGAAAGCTCAGGTGATCCGTGCAACAGGTGGCTCAGCTCGGTTCCAGGATGTGGAGAAGATCCTCCGTGCCTCAGACATGGAAGAGTCACGTTCCAATCCGGAGAACCGTCGCTTCGATACACGTCGTCCACATCCTCCTCCACGACGGCGTGACACCTTTGTAGCACAGGCCGCAGTTCCAGAAGGAGATTCATCAGGACTTGAAGACATAGAAGAGCTCGCACTCTGCAGTGAATCTGGTTCAGAAGAAGCGTTGGTCGCCGACGGAGACGGCGATGAACAAGCCGTGGATTCAGAGCTGGAAGCTGAGTTGCAGGAAGTGTACGAGGTCAAACAAAAGGCCAAAAAGGACTTCAAGAAGTCGTTCAAAACATACAAAGAGACACGAAAGAAAGTGAGAGAGTTGAAAAGAGCAAGACAGCCTTATTTCCCAGTGGTGGCCATACAGCCAGAATCAGGAGGTCCACCATCGGGGACAGGGACAAGCACATCGTCGCAGATGCCGGCAAAACAATCCTTTCGTTATGACAAGTCCGGACAGAATAGTCGAGGGGCCCCAAGGCCTTTCCTCGCAAGAAACCGGAAGTTCGTCCGAGACGCGAGGATGCCAATTTTGCAGAAGCAGGGTATGTCACAGAATTCAACTACATGATCAACGAGGGACAGCCTTTGGAGATTCTTTTAGCATCAATACCATTGGGTTGTGTGATCATTGATACAGGTTGTACAACGTCAGTTGTTGGTCGGGAAACAGCACAAGAGTTAACAGTCATGATGAAGCAATATGGTTTTCCCTTGCCTGTTGATGTTGAATTGCCGCCAGTAGAGCTCCGAGGTTTTTCTGGAGAAAAGACCACAACCACCTCAGGTCTGAAGTGGACAGTCAAACTGGGATCTCTCTGGGGCACAGTGACAACATATGTCATCGAGGGCCGAACACCGTTTTTGCTCTCACGCCGTGTGCTTGAAGGAATGCGAGCAACTCTTGATCTTGGTGCCGGAACCATTTCGAGTGAGAAGCATCACATGTCCGCAGTACCTCTCAAGCGTGCCGCCAATGGCCATTTGTTGCTGCCGATCTGTGAATTCCCCTCGGAATACCAAGCGGAGGAAGCTGCCTTTGCAGGCACGACCGTGCCATCAGAGGAAGCTGCCGTCGCCGGCACGCCCGTGCCATCAAAGCCAAGCCTGACAGCCATGAGTCAGGTTATCAATGAGCCCAATGCACCATGTGCACCATCCGCAAGGCACAGTGAAGAGCCTAAACAAAAGAAACAGTTAAAAACGTCATCTAGAGATAGAATCTTGAGCCGAAAGAAAGCTTTGCAACACATTGTGAAAAACACTAGGCAAGGTATCGTGAACATGAGTCGTTTTCACGAAGAACTGAAAATAGTGTTTGGGGATAGAGCTCATGAGTGCAAACAGTGTTTCGTAGCTTATAGGCCTCGACTAGAGCGTATTCCGGAAGATGCAATGCATCAGCCGTATCTAAGAGCTGTTGCAACCCTTTCGACAGAAGGGATCCTTGAAATATCCCCGTGGATTCACCGCGCTCCAGGCCGAGAGAGACAACGTGTCGGCCAGACCAATGTGGCCGTGTATGCATTCATTCCAGTGGAGCAGCCACCGCCGCCTGAGCCTCATCCTGAGCAGGATCACCCCGCCTGCCTGTGTTGCAGTGAGCATTGTGTAGAGGGTGAAATAAATATGGTAAAAGACTACAACCCTAATCTCCAGACAGTGTATGAAGAAACGGACTGGGTGGACGTAGGTCAGAAACCCATAAATAAGCCAACTACACACAAGCTCCTTGGCCAGATCGGTTCACTGCGTCAGGTCAATGCCAAACTGATCTTATCACGTATGTCCCAGGAGAAACATGTCATAAAAGAAGAACTGAGGGATTGGTTGAAAG